TATAGTGCCGGTTTGTGTCAGAAACCGGTACTATAGGTCAGACCCCTTTAGTGCCGGTTCATGGCACGAACCGGTACTAAAGGTTAGACCACCTTTAGTACCGGTTCGTGGCGGCCCCGGCCTAACGCCAGCCTGCCACAACCCCTTTAGTACTGGTTCGTGCCACGAACCGGTACTAAAGGTTCAACACGAACCGGCATTAATGCAAATCCGTTCGAACCGGCACTAATGGTACCATTAGTACCATTAGTACCGGGCCAAAATCAAACTGGCACTAATGTGCTTCACGTTTGACCCTTTTTCTACTAGTGAGCTTCTCTCAAGAGCATAAGTATTCTATGGTGGGTGAACAAATTACTGTTGAGCAATTGATAGAATTAAGCATAATTATGAGAATATCTAGGCATGATCATGTATATAGGCATCACGTCCGTGACAAGTAGACTGAAACGATTCTGCATCTACTACTATTACTCCACTCATCGACCACTATCCAGCATGCATCTAGAGTATTAAGTTAAAAACAGAGTAACGCCTTAAGCAAGATGACATGATGTAGAGAGATAAATTCATGCAATATGAAATAAACCCCATCTTATTATCCTCGATGGCAAGGATACAATACGTGCCTTGCTGCCCCTTCTGTCACTAGGTAAGGACACCGCAAGATCGAACCCGAAACTAAGCACTTCTCCCATGGCAAGAACTACCAATCTAGTTGGCCAAACCAAACGGATAATTCGAAGAGACTTGCAAAGATAACCAATCATGCATAAAAGAATTCAGAGAAGATTCAAATATTATTCATAGATAGACTTGATCATAAACCCACAATTCATCGGTCTCAACAAACACACAGCAAAAAGAAGATTACATCGAATAGATCTTCACGAGAGAGGGGGAGAACTTTGTATTGAGATTCAAAGAGAGAGAAGAAGTCATCCAGCAACTAACTATGGACCCGAATGTCTGAGGTAAACTACTCACACTTCATCAGAGAGGCTATGATGATGTAGAAGCCCTCTATGATGACGGCCCTCTTCCGGCGGAGCTCCGGAACATGCCCCAAGATGGAATCTCATGGATACAGAAAGTTGCAGCGGTGGAATTATGTTTTTGGCTCCTGTCCTGATCGTTTGGGGGTACGTGTGTATATATAGGAGGAAAAAGTACGCCGGAGGGGCAACGAGGGGCCCACGAGGCAGGGGGCGCGCCCCCCACCCTCGTGACCGCCTGTTTTGTTCCTTGGAGCAGGGTCCAAGTCTCCTGGACCACGTTCGGTGAGAAAATCACGTTCCCGAAGATTTTATTCCGTTTGTACTCCGTTTGATATTCCGTTTCTTCTAAACACTGAAATAGGCAAAAAACATCAATTCTGGGCTGGGCCTCCAGTTAATAGGTTAATCCCAAAAATAATAAAAAATGGAAAATAAAGCCCAATATAGTCCAAAAGAGTAGATAATATAGCATGGAGCAATAAAAAATTATAGATACGTTGGAGACATATCAACCCCCCTACCCGAGATCCGCTGGTTTTGACACCGACTGTAGGAAACATCTCTACCGCCGAATGGGCTGGCGGTAGTCTGCACAACCCTACCGCTAAGGAGCTTAGCGGTAGGCACGAGCACGCACTGTGTTCAATACTTAGGCGGATTTTGCCGGTAGGGCATGCAACCCTACCGCCAGGGTCCTTGGCAGTAGGCTGTTATACCCTACCGCCATGGTCTTTGGCGGTAGCAAAAGGATCAGATCTCGAAAAAAATTCAAATTAGGGTCAGATCTCGAATAGATTTGAAAAAATGATCAAAACACGGAATTTAGCCCCCTAGATATGGGAGTACCAGATATTTCTCCCGTACTTCCAAATGTGGTCTATAAAATTCTATTTAAGCCTCATTTTGCAAAGTTAAATTCCTAAATTAGTTTGTCATTATCTATCCGCAACCATGGTGGGGCTAGATGCCCCTTGGTGTAGTAGGTAGTGCACTAGTCCGTGTCATCTCAAGGTCCAGTCCGATCCGGTCGATGGATCACCCGGAGATCGATCGAGCAAGAGCCAGTACTAGCATACACATGCATGCATGCATGCATGCGGTAGGCTTTTTCCCTAGCTCCATGTAGCTGCGCCAGTGAAGTGACACGACGCATGCAGCGTGGAAAGACGAGCAGCCAAAGCTAGCTGGAGCCTGGAGCAGTACACATATCTAGTGCAGGTGGTGCTCGTCCTCCACTCTGCTTCACTTCACCTCTCTTCTGCCTTCCTTCCCAATGGGGCGCCGCCGCCATGTCGTCGTCCTCCTCCTCCTCCTGCTCCTCTTGCAGCTGGTTCCCCGGATCCTCGCCTCCACCGCCGCCACCCACGGCAATGCAGAGGCCGCCATTACCAAGGTGCGTATGTAGTACGCTTAATCATGCATGCTAGCTAGTAGTAGACTGATCGACCGTGTATGGATTTGCAGGAGGAAGGGGGCAGCGTGGGGGCCATGATGCAGCAGACGCTGGGTTCCCGGCCGCCGAGCTGCGAGGGGCAGTGCCAGTGGGCGTGCGGCGGCCGCCGGTGCGAGGCCGTGCAGGTGCCCGTCGCTCCGCGCGACCTGGGGCAGCAGCTGAAGAATAGGAAGAAGGAGAAGCGGGCATCGCCGGCGGCAGGGCGAGGAGGGGGCGCGCTGCTGCCGTCCTCGTACGACGAGCACTCCAACTACAAGCCGCTCGGCTGGAGATGCAAGTGCCTCCACTCCTAGGCCTGGCTAGCTTAATATCAATCACGCCATGGATTCTAAGCTACCTTCTACGTAGTGTCAGTATATATGAATCTGAAGCTTCGTTCGTTGTAGTATTGTACGTACATGGGATCTGCAAACCTTGCTTCTGTGCTCTGCTCTTTCTTGTGTTCGTGTGATGAAAGATTAATTTCTAGGGCAGACCGTCTCTTTTGCTGCACTTTTAAGTTTCAACTAGCCAGCCAGTATATTGACTCTTCACGCTTCGAGTCATGCACATGCACGTATGCTACTACTCAGCCAGTATATTGACTTTTTAAGTTTCAAAGATGAATGCGAGTAATAATCTACATGCATGCGTTCTTTTATTTTTTACAAGTGCTGCATGCATGTGTTGATGAGTACACAACTAGTGCCGATAAAGGTTTTCAAAAAAGAAAAATGCCGATAAAAGTAGAATTAGGCATGTGTATAAAAAAAAGGATAAATCAACATGCAGTGCTGTTGCAAACTTTGGTGCTACTGCAAGAGCAAGACGATTCGGTCCAACCTCGCTGCTTCCTGCTTGTATCTTCTGCCGGACAGTCGGCAGATATAAACGCTGTGACGGGACAAGCCAGAGACAGTGAGCTCGACACACGGCATCGTTCCCGTCCGTCCGCGCCCCGAGGAATTGTTGTCATGTCCAATCCAATGAAAGAAAGCAATGGTGACCTGCCTTTAACTCCACTGCAAAAGCGGCCAGGAACCACTGGGCAGAGATACTCTCGTTTGTAATGCACCGCGGGCTGGTCCGTGCAGTGCATCTACTTGAGCTTGAACGGAGCAGCAGCTGGATTGGCCGGTCGATCGACGGCTAGCTGTTGTGCTGCCATGTGTGTTAGCTAGCCTGGCCTCCATGGACAGATCATCACAGTGCCGTGCCAGATGGAGCCATCTGTAGGTCACGCGTGCGCAACAGGTGCAAGCAAGCAAGCTGCAGTACTGCCTCCATGCACGGTACAGAGGAGAGAAGTGTACTCCTCCGTTGTTGACGGGCGAAGAGAAGAGGAGGGGGATGTGTCACCCTGCATGTCCCATGGCGTACGTGATCAGCCGAGCTAGTCTGCATGCGTGTCCCGTCAAATTAACAGAAGGTCCGTACTGCCTACTGTCTATATATACGTACATTGATGAACCTGCAGGGGTGTAAACTCATTTGGCTGGTCAGGTCGCACACTGCAGTGATCCAGGATAGTCCAATCCATCCATCTTCTGTCGGGTCAAGTCAAGTAAGATCAGATGAGTCTATCTACATGCAAAACCATCGGTATCGTGAGAGTAGCTCACCATCTTTTACGCACTGCATGCGCTGCCTTGCTAGGAGACCGTGCGTGCCTGCTGCACGAACAAGCTGTCCAGCCATCTGGCCTTCCATGCACCGCGACGTCTGCGCGTGGACCTGCCACGAGAGAATATCTAGTGACACCAACACTAGACTTTCCCGTTTCAAAAATATCAAATTTAAATGGGTCGAAACTTTTCGAAAATATATTTGTGGATGTCCACAAGATATGTATGTACAGCTCCTACAAAATTCATGCCGGAATCAATAAACAGAGATTAAAAATTGTCAAATCTGGCATGAATATCAACATTTATAATATGTTTTTTGGGTACAATTTTAACCATTAGAAACCCTTTCTATATAGGTAGTTTGGTTCACATGATCTGACCAATGTGTTGGTGTTTCTTTTCACTCTAGTTCGGAGGGTAATATTCATCCACTCAAACTTATTTGAATACATTCTCTGTTTTTGAGTGGTGTCAAACACTATTTACTCCAAATTTATGGACCAGGGCCTATGCTTCTCTTTTCTGTTGAGATTAATTAGCACATGTAATTAGCAGGGAATCTCCCCTTGCCCAACCTTCATTGCGGTTCCTCCCGCAACAGACACCTCTCTCTCTCATATCCCCTGGAACCGACGCAACCCCTCGGATCGTCACGTCTCTCCAGTCCATGTAAATTGTACTCGGAAACTCCTAATCAATAGAAGTTTCCATTCGAGCAGTGGTGCGGATTCGAGGTCTCCCACCCTTATCCGTAACCGCTTCTTCCCTCTCTTATGCGGTGCGGCGGCAAGTGGATCGGCCAAAGGACATGGAGGCCCAGACGCCTGGCGTGACTGATTTGGGCTGGATTTCTTCTCTGTTTTATTAACAATAGTACTAATTATTGTATTTGTGCAATTTTTAGACTCTGTTTACTACTGTTTAGTACCTAGATTGACTCCTAATTACATTTTAGTCTTGTTCTAGATTTACTCTATATTAGGACTTGCGTAATTATTAGTAGTTGTGTTTATACTATTATGCAATGGATTGATAATATAAATAAAGTGCCGGGTTTCATCTAGGGATGACATGTTCCATGTGTTTACCACATATCAAATTCTCTTTGAACATGTTTTTGAAGGAAATATGCCCTAGAGGCAATAATAAAGTTATTATTTATTTCCTTATATCATGATAAATGTTTATTATTCATGCTAGAATTGTATTAACCGGAAACATAATACATGTGTGAATACATAGACAAACAGAGTGTTACTAGTATGCCTCTACTTGACTAGCTCGTTGATCAAAGATGGTTATGTTTCCTAACCATAGACATGAGTTGTCATTTGATTAACGGGATGACATCATTAGGAGAATGATGTGATTGACTTGACCCATTCCGTTAGCTTAGCACTTGATCGTTTAGTTTGTTGCTATTGCTTTCTTCATGACTTATACATGTTCCTATGACTATGAGATTATGCAACTCCCGTTTACCGGAGGAACACTTTGTGTGCAACCAAACGTCAAACATAATTAGGTGATTATAAAGGTGCTCTACAGGTGTCTCCAAAGGTACTTGTTGGGTTGGCGTATTTAGAGATTAGGATTTGTCACTCCGATTGTCGGAGAGGTATCTCTGGGCCCTCTCGGTAATACACATCACTTAAGCCTTGCAAGCATTGCAACTAATGAGTTAGTAGCGGGGTGATGTATTACGAAACGAGTAAAGAGACTTGCCAGTAACGAGATTTAACTAGGTATTGAGATACCGACGATCGAATCTCGGGCAAGTAACATACCGATGACAAAGGGAACAACGTATGTTGTTATGCGGTCTGACCGATAAAGATCTTCGTAGAATATGTAGGAGCCAATATGAGCATCCAGGTTCCGCTATTGGTTATTGACCGGAGACGTGTCTCGGTCAGGTCTACATAGTTCTCGAACCCGTAGGGTCCGCACGCTTAATGTTACGATGACAGTTATATTATGAGTTTATATGTTTTGATGTACCGAAGGTTGTTCGGAGTCCCGGATGTGATCACAGACATGACGAGGAGTCTCGAAATGGTCGAGACATGAAGATTGATATATTGGAAGCCTATGTTTGGATATCGGAAGTGTTCCGGGTAAAATCGGGATTTTACCGGAGTACCGGGAGGTTACCGGAACCCCTAGGGAATCAAATGGGCCTTAGTGGGCCTAGATGGAAGAGAGGAGAGGAGGCAAGGGCTGGCCGCGCGCCCCTTCCCACCCTAGTCCGAATAGGACAAGTAGAGGGGGGCGGCGCCCCCCTTCTTCCTTCTCCTCCACTCCTTCCCCCTCAAGTCCTAATCCAACTAGGAAAGGGGGGAGTCCTACTCCTAGTGGGAGTAGGACTCCTCCTGGCGCGCCCTCTCCCTTGGCCGGCCACACCCCCCCTTGCTCCTTTATATACTGGGGTAGGGGGCACCCTAGAGACGCAACAATTGATCATTGATCTCTTAGCCGTGTGCGGTGCCCCCCTCCACCATAGTCCACCTCGATAATACTGTAGCGGTGCTTAGGAGAAGCCCTGCGTCGGTAGAACATCAACATCATCACCACGCCGTCGTGCTGACGAAACTCTCCCTCAACACTCGGCTAGATCGGAGTTCGAGTGATGTCATCGGGTTGAACGTGTGTTGAACTCGGAGGTGCCGTATGTTCGGTACTTGATCGGTCGGATTGTGAAGACGTACGACTACATCAACCGCGTTGTGCTAACGCTTCCTCTTATGGTCTACGAGGGTACGTGGACAACACTCTCCCCTCTCATTGTTATGCATCACCATGATCTTGCGTGTGCATAGGATTTTTTTTGAAATTACTACGTTCCCCAACAGTGGTAATAGAGCTAGGTTTTATGCGTTGATGTTATTTGCATGAGTAGAACACAAGTGAGTTGTGGGTGATATAAGTCATACTGCTTACCAGCATGTCATACTTTGGTTCGGCGGTATTGTTGGATGAAGCGGCCCGGATCGACATTACGCGTACGCTTACGCGAGACTGGTTCTACCGACGTGCTTTGCACATAGGTGGCTGGCGGGTGTCAGTTTCTCCAACTTTAGTTGAACCGAGTGTGGTTACGCCCAGTCCTTGCGAAGGTTAAAACAACACCAACTTGACAAACTATCGTTGTGGTTTTGATGCGTAGGTAAGAACGGTTCTTGCTAAGCCCGTAGCAGCCACGTAAAACTTGCAACAACAAAGTAGAGGACGTCTAACCTGTTTTTGCAGGGCATGTTGTGATGTGATATGGTCAAGACGTGATGAGATATAAGTTGTTGTATAAGATGATCATGTTTTGTTGAAGTTATCGGCAACTGGCAGAAGCCTTATGGTTGTCTCTTTATTGCATAAGATGCAAGCGCCAAATAATTGCTTTACTTTATCGCTATGCAATAGCAATAGTTGCAAGAGCAATAGTTGGCGAGACGACCATGTGACGACACATTCATATAGATCAAGATGATGGAGATCATGGTGTCATGCCGGTGACGATGGAAATCATGACGATGTTTCGGAGATGGAGATCAAAGGCACAAGATGATGATGGCCATATCATGTCACATATTTTGATTGCATGTGATGTTTATCTTTTATGCATCTTATCTTGCTTTGATTAACGGTAGCATTATAACATGATCTCTAACTAAATTTCAAGATAAATGTGT